CCGCACGCACGCACGCACGCGCACGCACGCAACGACCCACACACGCACGCACGTACACGCGCACGTACGCCCCGCACGCACGCACGCACACACACACACGCAGGCGCCCACTCGTACATGGGTATCCTGCATTTCTCTTGGGTTTCGTTATTACGTTGGATTAATCAAAGCGAGCTCTCGCGTGCGACAACTGCTGGTTTCATTATAATATATAAATCAGTAGATGTCTCATAGTGACGTCATTTGTTTCTGCCGGCGGCCGCCAGGTGGAATCAGCCTGACATGATGATCGTCATCCTGTCTGTAGTCGGCATTCATATTGGAGGAGATGAAGTCGGACATTATTCCCATCAACCCCACCATTATCCGCGTGATGAGAGTGCTGCGGATAGCACGAGGTATGCCCACCAGGTGGCAGCACGAGACGCTCGCGCATTGCCCTAACCAGAGCACGTATATCATATATCAAGAGTAGATAATAACATTATTTAATGATATATAATTTATAGATAATATGTTATTATCTACTCTTGCGTATATGTATCAATACGTATGATATACGTGCTCTGCCCTAACTCACTTTGAGATTTACCTCTAATTTTACTTAATTATTAACGTCTAATTATTTTAAACGATACTTGATTCACTGGGTAGATTCACTCTACTCGTTATGGCCATGCGATTTGTTGGCGTTCAGCGTAATCCTGAAGCTGCATCCTATATGTCAGACTATAGTTAGCACCCACATAAAATAAAGTCACTACCTTTTCACTCCAACACAGTCCTATAAATAGTGAACAGTCACTACCTTTTTGGGTTGCATATATGCATATATATTCTCTTCCTTATATGCGTGTAATAGAATAGGTAACTTACGGTAGGTTCTTTGGTAGGTTTGGTTTTTGACTATGTGAAGAGACAGGGCGCGACCAGTAGTAGTGCTCAAACATGCACCTCCAAGCACTGGTATCAACACCACATGAGTATATAAACATACCCTTATACATTAGTATTAAATATGGGAGTGTATTATATTATATATTATGTTATATTTATATAATAAATATATATTATATATAAATATATATAATATACTCCCATATTTAATATTCTTATATAATATATATATATATATATATATATATTTATGTATAATATATATATATATATATTATAATATATATATTATATTATATATATAATGTACCCCTATTATTTCATACTGATGTATAGTTTGTTTATATATTCGCAATGATCTGGCCTGATCTAATAAAATGTTGCTGAGTTTTATGCAGCCTTCTATTTGAGTATAAATACTATCAGGAGTTAATAAAGACAAAGTTTGACTTTATTAACTCTTGATACTGTGAGCTGCGGTGTCAGCACTGCGATATCTGCCGGCAATATACGCATGCCTGTGCATTGGTTACGTCATCGACTGCAGGCAATGACCGCCACAGGAAATTGCGTGCTCTCTTGGCCTGCAAGCCTCGTTGCTTTTCATCACGCGGTGAGCCATTGACGCCGACAATTACTTGATTGACTCTATGATACAGCGGGGAGGAAATTAGTAAGATTATGGTATTGCGATGGAAATTTGCACAGAACTAGTGGTGGGGGGTGGGGGCGGGGTTGTCGCGTGCGAGCAATGCAGGACGCCCGGCTGGCAGGTTCGTTTCGTATGTAGATAAGAAATGGAGAAAGAAGGAGAGAGAGAAGAGAGAGAGTCAGAGAAAGAGTCAGAGGGGAGGAAAATGGGGGAGAGTGTTCAGCGGTAAGAGATAGAAAGAGAGGGAGAGGACGAAGGGGTGGAGAGCGAGCGATAGAGAGAGAGGGTCGGGCAGAAAGGATAGAATGACGAGGAAGAGTGCGAGGGCGATGAGCGAGCGATAGAGAGAGCAGGAAGATAGAAAACAATAAGAAAAACAAGATGGAGCGAGCGTAAGAGCAGCGGAGAGGGGCGGGATAGAAAGAGAGAGAAAGGCGTAAGGAGACAGAGGCGCGAACGAAAAAGACGGCGGACGGGAGAAGAGTTAAAGAAGAATAAGAAAGCGCGAGAGCACGCACAAGAGAGTGAATGAGAGAGAAAGAGAGCGGAGGGGCAACGAAAGTTATAGGAGACTCCTTAAATAATAACGAAACGTTCGTACCTTTCCCACCACTCTGCCTTCTCGCTCTCACATTGGGATCTATAACGTATGCTCTATTACAGTATTGAAGCTGCTAAAGATGGCAAAGGGCATTCGAGCTTTGCTAGACACTGTTTGACAGGCCCTGCCGCAGGTGGGGAACCTAGGACTGCTCTTCTTTCTCCTCTTCTTCATCTTTGCCGCGCTCGGCGTTGAGCTGTTTGGAAGACTAGGTACGTCTACGTCTGTCGGCCCCCTCTATCTTGTTATCTTGTTTTTGTCTTCTTCTTCTTCATCTTTTTCTTTTTCTTCTTCCTCTTCTTCTTCTTCTTCTTCTTCTTCTTTGTCTTCTTTTTCTTCTTCTTCTTTTTCTTCTTCTTCTTTTTCTTCTTCTTCTTCTTCTTCTTCTTTTTCTTCTTCTTCGTCTTCTTCATCTTCTTCTTCGTTGTCTCCTTCTTATTTCTCGTTCCTCTTCTTCCTCGCCATTGTCCTATTCTTCGTCTGCGTTCTCCCACCCGTGACGTGATTGGTCGGAGCCATAACGCGCCCTCTATCTGACTGACCACTACAGAATGCTCGGAGGACCATCCCTGTGAAGGCCTCAGCGACCACGCCCACTTTAAGGAATTTGGCATGGCCTTCCTGACACTGTTCCGCGTAGCGACCGGCGACAACTGGAATGGCATCATGAAGGTGAGACTGTGTTGATTGTGTCGCCACCTGTCGTGGAGTGGGAGAGTCGTAAATGAAATGTGTATGTAGAGGGTGGATAGTGATCGCGCGATCTTTCACCCACGATTCTTCAGCCTGTAGTTAAGCTGACAGTTTCACTGTATAGTATTGTTTTATTGCATTTGTCTTGGAAACTGTAACCGCGTTTACACTGAAAAGATAACCCGGATTTATTAAGCAGCAATTTTTTTTAAATTCGGATTTTTAAATCCGCGTGTAGACCGCGGTTTGTATATTAATTGTGTCGGAAAAATTGCCAGAAGCAACATTGTTGTCTACTTTCGTCACTGCTACTGAATCTCACCGTGTTGTCCATACATACATACACACACTCGCGCACGCACGCACACCCACTTACTCACGCACACACACACACGCTCACTCATGATCACTCACGTACGCACGCACGCTCGCCGCACAAACACGCAATACGCACATAAAACACACACACACACACACACACACACACACACACACACACACACACACACACACACACCACACACACACACGCACACACAAACACACACATATATGCTTATATATTACATATACTCTCTCTGTTTTGTAGGATACGTTACGGGACGGCTGCAACAGTGAAGCGGAGTGCAGGGTTAACTGCTGTGTCAGTCCATTCGTTGCCCCCATCTACTTCGTCGTGTTCGTACTCATCGCTCAGGTTTGTCCTGGTGAGTTATAATCAGGGTTCAACGTAGCGGGTCTTCAAAGTCTTAATACGTGCCTTATTTTTTGTCCAAAGACATTGTGTTTATAAACTGTTCTCGACTTGAGAGTGAAGAATTGTTGTATATTATAATACGGGAAATTAATTAATCTGTGTGCATTTGATGTATATTAAGGATTTAATATATAGTTGTACTTTATTAGTCGCGTATAAAAGCTATTATTTGGCTCCAGAAAGGCGTCTTATATAAGTCCTTATTTCAACATGTGTCTTACTACTATGAACCCTGTATAATGACTACCATATTCCACTACGGTATAGCATTACCCATCATTATTATATGTATTGCAATTTTATATATGTAATATATGTAATGTATATGTGTATACATTATAATGTAATATTATTATGTAATTTGCCACACCTTGGTGAGTAAGATGTGTAACATTTCTACGTCTTATTGTGTAATGTAAACGTTGCCACATGTTATGGTGTAGGATATAGCGTTTTCTCCCTATGCACAGACCTCTCAGATCTCTCACCTCTCATCTCTCACCTCAGAGAATAATTATGTCACCATAAATCAATGTGGCGAACTCATTTGCAACCGGATTGCCCGTGGAGTTGTGGAGGTGTGATGTTGCCGCCATATGATACTACTACTACTGCTGCTGCTGCTGCTGCTACTACTACTACTACTACTACTTGCCTGCTGCTGCTGCTGTGCTGCTGCTGCTGTTGTGCTGCTACTGCTGCTGCCCTGCTGCTGCTGCTGCTGCTACTACTACTACTACTACTCTACCTCTACTGCTCTCTACCTCTACTGCTCTCTACCTCTACCTCTCTGCCTACACTACGATACTACTACTACCCCTCTCATCTCACCTCTCATCGCTCTCACCCCTTCTCAGGTGAACGTGGTCGTGGCTGTGCTCATGAAACATCTCGAGGAATCACACAAGCTGATGGAGGACGAGGCGGAGATCGACGAGGAGATACAGCGGGAGCTCGACGACGAAGCAGCGCTCATACGCGAGCAGAGGATGATAGCAGTGGCCGCTGATAGACAGGTCAGTGTGGTGACCACTGGTCAGAGAGAGAAAGAGAGAGAGAGAGGAGGAGAAAAATGGCGAAAGGGGATGAGAGGATGAGGGGAGGGTGCAGGCGGAAAGTGTAGCAAAGTGGCCACCGCGAGCACTGTTGGAAATACAAATGTTATACATATGTATAGAATACAAATGAATGAAATATGTATAGAATACAAATGAATGAAATATGTATAGAATAAATGAAATACAAATGTATAGCATATCCCGCGCGAATGAGCGAGTAACGCTACGAACTTATGGTAAGTATAAACGTGGATATATATATATATATATATGATATATATATATGATATGTATAACGCCCCGCTCCATCTTCTCTACTTCTCACTTCTGCGTCTGTACTTTTGCTTGTTTGCCACGGTCATGTAGAGGTCACGCAGAGGTTATGTAGAGGTCATTCAAAGGTCACGCCGTGCTCGCAGCCTATCAGTGACGACCTAGCCGCGTGTGTGGGATGCGCTTTTCATCAGGATTACATAAAAACACATTTTACGTTTTTATTCATTCCCTGATTTCATCGATGCATTCCTCTTAGGTTCCATTAGATCTATTAGATTTTTCGTCGTCTTCGTGTTTTTTGATTATTATGTTATATTATAATATATTAGGTGTTGTCGGTTGTATGGTATACTCACACACTAACGCTTGCGTTGTTAACACCGCCCCACTTTCTGTGCCCACAGTCTCTTTCCACAGTGCATGAACTGTCGTGTGATGACTCATGCTCATCAAACCCCTCGGTAGAGGGCGCTGATGATGCTTTCACTGCATGCGAATCTGTGAACATCATATTAACGCCGCGCAAGGACGCCGACGAGCACGTGGCGCCACCTTTCGGCGCGTACGCGGACACGTTGCATCTGTCGCATTCCACCAACTGTCTGCTGGAGTTGTTAGCAGACGAAGTGCAGTCTCTCAGCTGGCGGTCCGCCACTTCCGTTTCCGATCCGCACCTGTACGGTGGCTCGCAGGAGTGCATTCTGGGATCGGCTGCGTCTGAGAGCGCCATCTGGCGTTGCTGGCGTGCGGAACGTGTAAATACGACATATATTCCTTCGCTCGTCGAGCGGCGTTTAAGGGCTGGTGTGCTTTGCACGCGCGGCGACGGTGACGCCATTTTTACGTTTGGGCTTCGTTTGGCGTTCCACGAGTGAGCGTTCCAACGCCTGCTGCGTCGAAAAGAATTCCTTCTCCGCCAACCCCCTCCCACCGACACATCTTAGGCAGGATAACAACCCCCCCCCCAACACATCTTAGGCGTGATACAGCCCCCCTCCCCCTACGACCAGCTTAGACGTGATAACAACCCTCCCACCGCGCCCCACGACACTCATGACGTCACAAAACCCCCCATTCCACCTTTCCGCAACTCCTTAGATGTATTTACTCACTCATATAATACCACCCAGTCTACAGATCACCTCTAAACGAACTTTCGCGTTCTTTTTGTATTTGTTTGTGCAGATTGTGCTGCGTCGGTGTTGCATATCGTGTTGTGTCTGGGCGTTGCATGTTCTAGCCCAGACTAATTGTATCTCATCGGGGTGCGTCCCAAGGGCTTACGTCTCCGCGCTTCTCTATCGATCAGCTGACCTCCTCTGCCACTAAGTGAGAGCTTCTTTTTCCTCTCTCTCTTACCTCTTCTCTCTGTGTTCTCTCTGTTTTATCCTTATCTCCCTCTTCCCTCGTTCTCTCAATCTCTCTCTTCTCTCTTTCTCTCTCTCTCTCTCTCTCTTTCTTTCTCTCGTACATTCCTCTCTTTCTCGCGCTCTCTCTCTCTTTCTGTATCTCTTTCTATGTCTATCTCTCTTTAGGTTTCTCTCTAGTGTGGAAATAACTTAGCTCACTCCACTCACACTAGATATCACATACAGACTATGGCTATGACCAGTAAAAAATCTAGCTCCAGACTAAGACCTTGGATCGCACTCATACAACGCGTTAGTTATGACCCGCAATCAGGTTAGTTGTAGTAGTTGCTAGTAGTTGTTAGTAGTTGCCTAGTAGTTTCTCTGTAAGTAAAACTGCGAGTTTGTCGTACATATTACCACGTTGTCTGCACCATAGAAATAGTTATAGAGACATATTATATTATATATATATATATATATATATATATTGTCTACCTATATTAGTTCCACATTGTCTGCACTCAATATTGAGTCACGTGATTCAGTCCTTCGGTCCTGCTTCGCGTCGATGTTGCTGTGGCTGTGTTCGCGTGGCCCCGGCAGTTAGATGCGATATGATATGACTACTAGGCACTTAGGATATGGACTACTAGGCATTAAAAAAAAAAAAACCTAACCCTAACCCTAACCCTAAAAAAAAAAAAAATTAATTAAAGTGCCTTAGTTAGTCAATCATATCGCATCTAGCTGCCCGGGCGATTGCGTTCGCGTAATGACAAAACCACGGCACGCGTCGGTGATCACGCGTGATCGTAACTCTCCAATCAGGCGCAACTGGCGGATCGACCATGACGCCGACGACGATGGCCGATGACGACGGCGTCCTGGAGCCAGGAGCGGATGTCCGGCGGTTTATTGCTGCAGAAACAAGACTTCCGCTGCCGACGGATATCACGTTTCAGGTGCAGGCGCCGACGCCGCTGCCGACGCTGCGGGGCTGCGATGACGTCGGTGCGTGTAGCTCGTGAAGCGGTCGATAAATAATCAATGAACAATAACAATAAAACATAAAATAATAAAATCATAATAAATCATAAATAATCAATGATCGATAAGTCAACCACAGTTGAGGAATGGTGGCGTGGTTAAATGATTAACGAGAAAGCGACAGACTCTCTTCTCTCCTCTCTCTCTCTCTCTTCTCTTTTCTCTCTCTCTCTCTCTCTCTCTCTCTCTCTCTCTCTCTTCACACACACACAACACACACACACACACACAACACACAAACAACACACACACACTCGCTCTCTCTCTCTCTTCTCTCCCGCTCTCTCTCTATCTCTTTCTCTCTCTCTCTCTCTCTCTCTCTCTCTCTCTCTCTCTCTCTCTCTCTTTCCACTCTCTCTCTCTCTCTCTCTCTTTCTCACACTAATATAATACACTCCCATATTTAATACTAATGTATAGGTATGTTTATATACCCATGTGGTGTTGATACCAGTGCTTGGAGGTGCATGTTTGAGCAGTAATACTGGTCGCGCCCTGTCTCTTCACATAGTCAAAAACCAAACCTACCAGAACCTACCGTAAGTTACCTATTCTATTACACGCATATAAGGGAAGAGATATATATGCATATATGCAACCCAAAAAAGGTAGTGACTGTTCACTATTTATAGGACTGTGTTGGAGTGGAAAGGTAGTGACTTATGTTATGTGGGTGCTAACTATAGTCTGACACGATAGGATGGTAGCTTCAGTATTACGCTGAACGCCAACAAATCGCATAGCCATAACGAGTAGTGTGAATCTACCCAGTGAATCAAGTATCGTTTAAATTAATTAGACGTTAATAATTAAGTAAAATTAGAGGTAAATCTCAAAGTGAGTTAGGGCAGAGCACGTATATCATACGTATTGATACATATATGCAAGAGTAGATAATAACATTATTATCTATAAATTATATATCATTAAATAATGTTATTATCTACTCTTGATATATGATATACGTGCTCTGGTTAGGGCAATGTCTCGTGCTGCCACCTGGTGGGCATACCTCGTGCGATTCGCAGCACTCGCATGACTCGGATGATGGTTGGATTGATGGGGATGACGTCAGACTTCATCTCCTCCAATATGATGCCAACTACGGACAGTATGACGATCATCATGTCCAGCTGGTTCCACCTGGCGGCCGCGGCAGAAAACAAGTGACGTCACAAGAGGGGGCCGACAGACGTAGACGTACCTAGTCTTCCAAACAGCTCAACGCCGAGCGCGGCAAAGATGAAGAAGAGGAGAAAGAAGAGCAGTCCTAGGTTCCCCACCTGCGGCAGTGCCTGTCTAACAGTGTCTAGCAAAGCTCGAATGCCCTTTGCCATCTTTAGCAGCTTCAATACTGTAATAGAGCATACGTTATAGATCCCAATGTGAGAGCGAGAAGGCAGGGTGGTGGGAAAGGCACGGACGTTTCGTTATTAGTTTAAGGAGTCTCTAGAACTTTCGTTGCCCCTCGCTCTCTTTCTCTCTCATTCACGCTCTTGCGCGTGCTCTCGCGCTTTCTTATTCTTCTTTAACTCCTCCCTCGCCGGTCTCTTTCGTTCGCGCTTTGTCTTCTTCCGCCTTTCTCTCTCTTTCTTCCCCCTCCGCTGCTCTTACGCTCGCTCCATCTTGTTTTTCTTATTGTTTTCTATCGTCCTGCTCTCTTTATCGCTCGCTCTCGCCCTCACATTCTCCCTCGTCGTTCTATCTTCTCTGCCCGACCCTCTCTCTCTATCGCTCGCTCTCCCCCTCGTCCTCTCTCTCCTCTTTCTATCTCTTACCTCTGACACTCTCCCCCATTTTCCTCCCCTCTGACTCTTTCTCTGACTCTCTCTCTTTCCAATTCCTTATCTACATACGAGAACGAACCTGCCAGCCGGGCGTCCTGCATTGCTCGCACGCGACAAAAACCTCCCACTAGTCTGTGCAAATTTCTATCGCAATACATAATCTACTAATTTCCTTCCCCGCTGTATCATAGAGTCAATCAAGTATTGTCGCGTCAATGGCTCACCGCGTGATGAAAGCAACGAAGCTTGCAGGCAAGAGAGCACGCAATTTCCTGTAGCGGTCATTGCCTGCAGGCGATGACGTAACCAATGCACAGGCATGCGTATATTGCCGGCAGATATCGCAGTGCTGACACACACCGCAGCTCATACTATCAAGAGTTAATAACGACAAACTTTGTCTTTATTAACTCCTGATAGTATTTATACTCAGATAGGAATGCTGCATAAACTCAGCAACATTNGTGTGTGTGTGTGTGTGTGTGTGTGCGTGTGTGTGTGCATGGGTGCGTGCGTGCGTGCGTGCGTGTGTGTGATGGTCAATGTTTAAATTCCTTGCACATAATGGAATAAGCCCACAAGCTTCAATGTGTAACACGTTTTCCTCTTTGATTTACCCTACAAAGCAGCTCGGCAATAAATATTAAGATGATGCAATCATGATTAAGACTAAATTGGGATTAATTATTGATCCTAATTACCCCTTTTCTGCTAATTGCAGGCGGTCAATAATGGTAATAATAAACCATCCACCCGTTATCTCTATCTCCAAAAAGTTCGCTGCCCCCGCGCGTACAGTATTCTTCGTATCTCAGAAAAGTGTGGCTGGATGGAGGGGTGTGGCGTGTAGTGTGATGGAGGGGTGTGGTGTGTAGTATGATGGAGGGGTGTGGCGTGAAGTATGGTGGAGGGGTGTGGCGTGTAGTATGATAGAGGCGTGTGGTGTGTAGTATGGTGGAGGGGTGTGGCGTGTAGTATGATGGAGGGGTGTGGCGTGTAGTATGGTGGAGGGGTGTGGCGTGTAGTATGATGGAGGGGTGTGGCGTGTAGTATGGTGGAGGGGTGTGGGGTGTAGTA